TTTCCACAAAATAGAAAAACTTTCAATAGATTCCTCTTCATCAAATAAATAAACAGAATGAAACAAGATGATCATCTCCACATAGGATCTCATTTGCTTTGTTTTTATTAACAGTACAAGAACCAACCACCGAATAGGAATATAAAAAATGCACTCAACAGAGACCAGAGACCCAGAAGCTGCATATAATTCTATTGACCATATTGCACCAACCAACCAACTTGTGTTCTCCCCTGCTGGACCACTGGCTTCATACACCAACAAGATTCATAGAATTTTATCGACCATAGTGCACCTAAATTGCTCTCTCCTGCGGGAGCATTGGCCTCTCCTGCTGCATCGTTTGAAGGTTCAAGCAAGAGCATGATCGTGCGACGTCGCCGGCCAGAGGGATCACCGGGAGATTATCACAGTTGCAAATCTCGATCATGAATCCATCAGGGTCATGAAAGAACAACTGTTCAACCTGAATCCCACCTTCCTCTACTAATGCTCGCACATGCTGAATTCCCAGGTCTTTCAGCTTCTTCTCCACTGCTGCCATGCTCCCACACTGTATATGACAGATGTAGACGCGTTACATTTAGCATGCACATTCCTTCTTTTTGACATAACAAGAACATATTAGCTTTTAAAAACTTCTTAATTACATGGTGAAATCACTCTGTATAAATCAACAAGGATTCCAAGACTCCATTTTTTAGATTCTTGATGGCCATCTGCCATCAGCAGCAGACAAGCTTAGATACTACTACCTATGACAAAGTCTGACTAACCATCCACCTGAATCCACTCATGCCTCACCCTAAGCCAACACCGGAAACCAGAAAAAAAAAGACCAATTTACATAATAAATAAACATAATTAAGGATCTCGTGTAGCTTAACAGGATTGACATTTTGATTCTTAATAAATTACCTGAAACGAGATATGATTGTCCTTGGGATTAATTTCACTTTTCTTTGGCATCTTTTCTGGGTTTTCTGATTGCAATAAATGAATTCCAATTCCAAAACCAAATAGCCTGCATGAACAATCAAACAGAATGATGAAAGATCAAAAAAAGAAATCCCTTTATGAAGAAAGTTGTGATGTTTTCTTTTTTTGCTCTAAAGTTAATTTCTTGAGATCTTTACAGTATCGGG